ATTTTCCGTTATAAAGTCTGATTATTTTATGCCTGTGTAACACCAGTGAGACTGCACAAGAGAAATTTCTTTCAGAATTTCAGTATTAGAAAAAGTTGATATGTTTTGCTTCCACTGGTGGAATGCTCAGTTACAACTGTACTGGGCTTTATTGCACGTTCTTTTTTTGTTCCATTTTATTTTCCTTTCCCTTCTCCTTCCACTGCTTTTCTACCCTGTCCTTAAATTTGTCATCTTAAAACAGATAGTACTCTATTGTAGTATATGTGTTTATGTAAGCAACCCCAAATCTTTTTAGAAATGAGGGGAGGGCATAAATACCTAAAGAAATCAATAAAACTATGTGTAAGTACATGTTCACAATGAGGTTGTCATCTCACTAATACTAATTTTCATAGTTGGAACCCTTAGTAGTAAATGTGTCCTTCACAATTACTTGAACATTTTTTTTTAAAAGTATAGTTTATTGACTATGCTGTTAACAGTTGTCCCAAATTTTCTCCCTTTGCCCACCTCTGCCTGGTACTTGCCTTCCCTCCAGTAATACCCATCTCCCCACCCCCACCTAGTTCCTGTCACTGGGTCATGTCTGCAAGTTCCTTGACTTCTCCCTTTCCTATACTATTCTTAACATCCCCCTATTTTGTTCCTACCAATTAGGTTTCTTAATCCCTGCACCTTTCCCCCACTTCACCTTCTTCCCTCTCCCAGCTGATAACCCTCCAAATGATCTCCATACCTATGATTCTGTTCCTATTCTGGTAGTTTGCTTAGTTTGTTTTTGTTTTTGTTTTTTAGATTCAGTTGCCAATAGTTGTGAGTTTGTTGTCATTTTACTATTCATAGTTTTCGATCTTCCTCTTTTTCTTAGATAAATCCCTTTAACATTTCATATAAGAAGGGCTTGGTGATGATGAACTCCTTTAACTTGACCTTATCTGGGAAGCACTTTATCTCCCTTTCCATTCTAAATAATAGCTTTGCTGGATAGAGTAACCTTGAATGTAGGTTCCTTGCCTTTTATGACTTTATATCCTTCTTTTCAGTCCCTTCTTGTGTGTAAAGTTTCTTTTGAGAAATCTGCTGATAGTCTTCTGGGAACTCCTTTGTAGGTAACTCTCTCCTTTTGCTGCTTTTAAGATTCTTTCTTTATCTTTAATCTTGGATAATTTAATTATGATGTGCCTTAGTGTGGTCCTCTTTGGGTCCAACTTGTTTTGGAGTCTCTCTGTTTCCTGGACCTGTATGACTTATTCCTTTGCCAAATTAGGGAAGTTTTCTTTCATTATTTTTTCAAATAAGTTTTCAATTTCTTGCTCTTTCTTTTCTCCTTCTGGCAACTCTATGATTCGGATATTGGTACATTTAAAGTTGTGCCAGAGGTTCCTAAGCCTCTCCTCATTGGTTTTTGTGTTTTTTTTTAATTCTTGTTTCTTTTTTCTGTCCCGATTGAATGTTTATGTCTTCCTTTTGTTCCAAATCATGGATTGGAATCCCAGCTTTCTTCCTTTCATTGTTGGTTCCCTGTATATTTTTCTTTATTTCACTTTGTGTAACCTTCATTTCTTCCTTTATTTTTTTTTTTTGCCATACTCAATGAGTTCACTGAGCATCCTTATTACCAGTATTTTAAATTCTGCATCTGATAGGTTGGCTATCTCCATTTCATTCAGTTCTTTTTCTAGGGTTTTTTCTGTTCTTTCATTTGGGCCATATTTCTTTGCCCCCTCAATTTGGCAGCCTCCCTGTGTTTGTTTCTGTGTATTAGGTAGAACTACTTACACTCCCTGTCTTAATAGTGTGGATTATGTAGCAAAGACACCTGTAAATTGTGTGGGGTGGAGCCTTAGGTAATTGCCAGGGCTGAGCAACTCGCTTCACTGCCCCACAGCTCTGCTCGTCGAGGGGCAGGCCAAGGAGGGGACAACGTTGCTGTCTGGCGTTTGGAGGTCCTCCTGGCACTCACCCTGTTTCCAGTCACTTCACCCACTTTCTGTAGGTGATTGGTGCCCCTCTAGCTGCTTCCCTAGTGTTTGCAAACATTCTAAGTACATGCGGGGCCTTTAAGCTGTGAAAATCCAGCAGTTTCTTCCACTGCCCAACCCCCACTAGTTTTTACAGCCTGAAGTTCTGGGGGTTTATCTCCCTGGTGCGGGAACCCTGGGCTGTGTGGTCTGGACTGTGGCTGGGATCCCTTGTTCCAGGTGGCATCCCTCCTGATTTTTATCCACCACGTGTGAATATGGGACTGTTCCTTTTCCCACTGACACCCCTTGTCTGCACCACACCACCTCTCCTCCCATCTGCTTGCCTCCACCCCCCACCCATCTGGATGAATGTGGCTTCTTCAAATCCTTGGTTGTTGGTCTTCCATACAGCTCGAGTTTTTTATGGTTCTGGGTATTATTTGTTTTTGAGATCTGATTGTAATTCTATGGTTGCACAAGGAGGCGAAGTATATCTACTTATGCCCCCATCCTGACTGGAAATCCCAATTACTTAAACTTAACAGTTAAACACATTTTTTTTTAATTCACAGGAATTTAAACAAAACTTTAATTGTTGAATTTTTAGGAGTAATAAAAGCTACCAATTATTGTGTATGTAAGATGTTTTAGGCACTAGGCAGAGGGCTTTATATGTATTATCTTGTTTAACTTTCATGGAACCACCTTTTGAGGTGAGAACACGAGGAAAGTAAGGTACAGAGGAGCTTAGGTAAATCTGCCGAGATTAGAGGTTAGAGCCAGGATTTGGTTCCACGCAGTCTGATTCCAGAGCTAGTGTCCTAGCCATTAAACAGTATTGCAGTTGTCCTCAGACTTGTCTTCTTCAAAAAATACTAGTGCCCCTATCACACCCCCAGCGGTTAGATTGAATGGGCCTAGGGTTTGGCCTATGACCTGCAACTTTTAAAAGATCCTCCAGGTGATTCTAATGTTCAGAGGAGTATGGAAATCATTGTAACACTGCTTTTCTTGGAATATTTGCTAACAATGGCCACTTGAGAGCTGAGATAACATAAAAAATGTGTTTCTGAAATACACAAGGAAAGTTCAACCTGTGGGAGAAATTATAGCATGAAAGGGCAATAAGAAGGAGTATCATTCATTCATGTCATCAATATTTGTAGAGGATTTTTAAGGATTGATTCAGTGTTATACTGAATCTTTGACCTGTGTAAAGCTGGAAGCCACATGTGGGAATAATACGTGAAAAATGTGTCTTTCATGGATATCAGCAAGGTCGGAAACCAGGGGCAGTTTTGTAGACAATTCTCATCTTTACCTCAGTTCTGAGACAGTTTAGCCTTAAAAAGTAGAACAATAGAAAATATCCAAATTCAAAAATTACATGTACTTTAAGAAAAAAGTTCATAGCCTATCTCCTAGTAGACTGTAAACTCCTTGAGAGGAGAGACCCATCTTAAACATTTTTATTCTTTCAACACTTGACACCATGTTGCACAGAGAAGCCCAGTTAGTACTTGGAATGCTTCCTACATGCTCCTATGATACACTGAAGTTGTAACTAATAATTCTAGCTACCTATTCATCTATCTGCATTCACTATATGCAAGGTGCTTTTCATATATGCCACTGATGTTTACATAGACCTACCTATGATCCTCCTATCTGAGAAGGGGAAACAGAGTCTCAGAGAAGTTAAGTAATAAGCCCAAGATTGTACAGCTCGCAGAGTAACTAACAAAACTGGGGTTTGAGCCATGTCTGTTTGATGCCAGAGCACACCCACTTTCCTTTACCCAAAACACTCCAGAGGGTAGAAAATGTTATTTTAGAACTCTCAGAGGTAATTAAAAACTCCCAAATGGAATCTATCGGGAACAAGCTGTCATTATGAGGCCCATTAGAATAAGCATTTGCACAACTTGCTCTATGATTTCATATATTTTCCTACATTAAAAAAGCCCCTTCTAAACATGATTCTTAATTTGCTGAACCGCTTATGCTGTTTGGGACATTTTAGGTGTATCCAGTTTTCCACTGTTAAAGATATTGCAATGAACAATTTTGTACATAAATCTTTGTCCATATTTGGGTGTTATTTCTTTAGGGTACATTTCTAGAAGTAGAATTGGATTAAGGAATGTAAGCTTTGCTGACTCATTCTGCCAAGTTATTTTTTATGAAGTGTACTAATTTGAATTTCCATCTGCGATACACAGAGTACTCACCTCTCCTTATCCTTTTAACATCATTATCCTTTGTAAAACATTTTTGCTAGTTTGATAGTTTAAGAAGAAAAAAACCTTGTTTTTATTTGCATTGTTTTGATTAGAAGCAAGTTTGAACTTTATGTTTATTAGCCTTTTATATGTCTTCATACATGAATTCAATTCTATCCTTTGTCCATTTAACTGTTAACATCTGCCTTAGTGTTTTCCTTGTTCATCTATACTTTTATGTTCTTCAAATATTAAGACTGTTAGCCTTTATCATATTTGCTGCCATATATTTCTCCAAATTCTTAAAAACTCATTTTAATTTTTGACAGATATTTTAAGTTTCAAATATTTTAATCTATTAGTATTTTTCCTCTGTCTTTTTAAAAAAGATTTCATTTATTTATTTTCAGAGAGAGGGGAGGGGAGGGAGAAAGTGGGAGAGAAACATCGACATATGAGAGAACTATCAATTGGTTGCCTCTTACACACCCCCAGGACCAGGCATGTGTCACTGAGCCACACAAGCCAGGGCTCTTCTATGTCTTTTGCCACTTTTAACTCAGATTAAAATCCAGCGATTAGGTAAATATTCTATTATTTTTGCTCTAATTCAATTTAACAAATATTTAACTCTTCAAATGTGGTTTATTAACTGCTGTGATTTATTTTGCTAATGTGTCACATTTCATTTGGCCATTCCCCTATAGTTATTTTTCCCTAGCTCCTTTCTCTATTGATTTGTGATACTATCTTTATATATCTTTGATTTTTATTGAATCTAATTTTTGCATTTACTTTTCATTTTTTGCAGATCCTGTTCCCTGTGAGTTTGTAAGGAAATGGTAAGACTATAGTTACAGTATCATCCTTCCAGACTGTAGTATAGTGGACAAGCTTAGCTGAATGGAGCAAATTCAGTCAGGGACATTTTATGTGAAAGCCTAGCTTGGGATTTTTGAGAAGGTTCCTGTACTTTCCCTTTCTCATAAAGCCCCTATGTTTAAACACACACACACACACACACACACACACTTATTTATTTATTTACTTTTAGAGAGAGGGGGAAGGGAGGGAGAAAGAGAGGGAGAGAAACATCAATGTGGGAGAGATACATCAATCGGTTGCCTCTCACATGCTCCTTACTGGGGACCTGGCCCGCAACCCAGACATGTGTCCAGACATGTGATACGGAATCGAACTAGTGACCCTTTGTTTTGCAGGCCAACACTCTATCCACTGAGCCACACCAGCCAGAGCAAAGCCCTTTTCTAATAACAGTTCCTTTGGGAAAAAGAAATTAGAGAAAGAAAGTGATTAAGAAATAAGAAGGGGGAAGAAAATTGAGATGCATGAGAACTCTTCTTCTATTCAGCGTTTTACTTGTTTGCTAAGTACTAGGTGTTACATATTAGCTATGAACCGTTAAGGGACTTGGGATTCTGCATTGACAATCCTGTGTCATAGATTTTGTAAAGCTCCAGGTCAATGTATTCCATTTCCACCTGCCTCTAATTCAAGTACAATAATTAGTGAAATTTCAAGAAAATACCCTCTAAAAAATGTGTGTGCACAAGCATGCACATACAATATACAGAATAGCTATCTTCTGAAAAATAGATGTCTACTCTTGGTTTGGCTAAGATATGGTTAGATGAGGTATCAGAATAGAATCATTAAAGAAAAATACCAAGGGCTCATAATTATATAGATCAGAAATAAATAATAGCAGATTTGATTTTACCCACTCTTTTTATAAGTGGGTTAAGCCATTCATATTTATTATTATTTAAACTTATTTTGCATTTTCTATGTATTTTGCTTTCTAGTTGTTTTTTCTCTCACCTCTTTCAGACAGTAAATACTGCTACTTTATTTTTATGTAATGCTTTGCAGTTAAAAAAGTTTTTTCTTATAAGAGTCCTGAATGCAGGTATAGTCAACTAAATTTTATTGAGAGAATGAAATTCAGAGAAATTATGTCATTTTCCCAAGGTTGTATGGTGGCTGAGTAGATGAGCTGGTAGAACTAACATATACTGATTGTCATCAAGTGTCCACTTAAAATACCACATCACCAAAATAAACATATGCCAAGTGAACCAACTCTCCTGTGGCTAAATAGACAGGGACATAGTTTACCTAGTAAGTGTTTATACTTCTTAAAATTTTTTTTAATTTTTCTTTTTTAAAAGATTTTATTTATTTCTAGAGAGAGGGGAAGGAGGGAGAGAGAGAGGGGCAGAAACATGAATGTGTGGTTGCCTCTTGAGTGCTCCCAACTGGGGACCCGACCTGCAACCCAGGCATGTGCCCTGACTGGGAATCGAACCTGCGACCCTTCCGTTCACAGGCCGGCACTCAGTCCACTGAGCCAAACCAGCCAGGTCTAAACTTTAAAAAAAAAACAAACTGTTTAGAGAGTGTTTTTAAAATGTTTTTGTTATTCTGTTGATTATGATTATTATATTGATTCTTGCTTTCGTTTGGTTGGTTAATTTGGTTTGATTCTATGATGAAATTGTGGTATCTCCATTATCTATTTCTGTCTCCATTCTCTAAAAAATTTTTTTAAAGTGCACAGTGCCTGATTGTTATGAAAGAAAATATTTTCTGACCATAAACAAAATAGTTAAAACAGCATTATAATGGAAGAATTATTTGAATTACCCCATCAATTCAGATGTGAAATCTTTTCCGTAATTGTTGCTATGTAAATGTATACTTATTGCTCTGCACCCAAGGTAAAGGTTTCAAAACCTTTCTTAGCTATTGGCAAACTATAGGAGAATGATTATCAATGATAGCATGGGATAGCAATGTAATTCTCATTTAACAACCATCTGCCTTTGAGAGTTGAAATCCTTCAACCACATTCTTTTATTTCTGCACAGGATCATGAGTAGACACTGTGAGGTAATGCAGTACCCGAGACATGGGAAGCCTGTGTTAAGATAAAGAGCTGTCGGCTGGAGAAGTAGCTATGGGGACATAGTGCACAATAAGTAAATGGGAAGGAGAGGTGTTAGATTCCCACACAGAATTAGCAAATGTTAACGAGATTATTTCCTATTGGAATAACAACCAAATTTAAATATCTATAGGAATAAACTAGGAAATTTTCAATGGTCTTATATAAAATTTATTAAAAAACATTATTTAGCTGGTGAAGAAAAGGTGACGAGGAAAATCTTGGCTTGGAGGTGATGACGGAAGCCAGTGTCTCACTTGCTTGAGAAGATTAATGTATAATAAGATGTTTTGTCTGCAACTATGAGTTTCTCTCTCCTGGACCTAGTCACCTCCTTGGAAGGTTGGCTCAGGCCATCTCAGCAGGGCTCATGGGGCACCTACATGGTGAAACCATTCCTCTATTGAATAAGGATTTTTTTCCCTGGCAACTGACAGTATCTTCATTGTTTCTAGATATTAACAAGCATGACTTGAGGATAGCATTTTATCAATGACGTAGCATATCTCCAAATGTCTTACCACCAAATAGTCTTTTGATTATTTCTACCAACTACTACAATCTCAGGTTTTGAAAGATTTTTTTGTTGTTGGTCTTTACAAAACAAACTACATTGGTTACTTTTTTAAAAAATTAAGGACACATGTAAGTATCAATCAGAGTCTCCTGTCATCATGAAGGAACATATGGAGGTGATATACCTCAGAAACGAATTTAGTGTTTAGTAGTCTCTACAAGTCTGACTGTGGGTGGTGCTGAATTCCATTTGACTTTTTGAAATGTTCTAAAGATTGTGAACTGCCATTATTATCTTCATAGATCCCACAAGGATTTGGGAATTTCAGGCTGGGAACTCTTGAATTACGAAGCAGAGTCCTGAGGGACAAAATGTAAATAGGTTAGTTGCAATTGGAAAAGGGGGAGTTAAAAGAGTCCAGAGTATGGGCAGGAGGAAAAGGGTATGAAATTGGAATATCATTCTTTCTACTTTCAAACCTGTATTTTGGTCTAGCAACCCTCTCAAGCACTAAAGTAAACAATCTCAATGTATTACTTTATCTGGTTTAGTGATAGTTCCAGGATTTTCCTATATAAGACAAACTATTTTAAATAAGTTATCTATTTTAAACTAGCTATCATACTAGGTGCTGCAGGGGAGAAAAGGGAAAAGGAACAAACATTTCCAAGTACCCACTCTGTGGTTATAATGTGCTGGACACGCAACTCTTTGAGATGGATATGTTTATTTTCATTTGTTGATGAGGTTGACCACACTGGCCTCCTGTTATTTCTCAAACTTACAGGCATGCTTCTGCCCCAGGGCTTTTGTGCTTGCTATTGCTGTTGGTATGGAGTGCTCTTTCCCTGGAAATTTTGCATATCTAGTCATTGTTCAGATAGAACCCGATCAGTAATACCTTCTTTGACCACCCTATTTAAAATTGCAACCCTCTCCCCCACCACATACTCCTTATACCCCATTTACTTGCTCTTTTAATAGCTCTTATTCCCATCTAATATACTTTGTTTACTTTGTTTACAATATTTACTTTATTTAATTTATTGTCTTTCTGTCTGGACATGACGGTAAGGATTTTTGACTGTTTTATTCCCCAAGGCACTCTCAGCTGTAGAGCACTACTTGGTACTTAGTAAGTTCTCAATAAATTTTGCCATTTTAATTGTGATGTGTCTTAGAGTGGGCCACTTTGGGTTCATCTTGATTGGGACCCTCTGTGCTTCCTGGACTTACATGACTTTTCTTTCATCAAGTTAGGGAAGTTTTCTGTCACTACTTTTTCAAACAGGCTTTCTATCCCTTGCTCTTCTTCTTCTCCATCTGGTATCCTTATGATATGGATATTGTTATGTTTCATGTTGCCCTGCAGTTCCCTTAAAACCTCTTTATTCTTTTTGAGTCTTTTTTTGTTTTGTTGTCTGTGTGGGAATTTTTTTCTACTTTCCTCCAGCTCATTGATTTGATCTTCTGCTCCATCTAGCCTGCTTTTAATTCCTTCTACTGTGTTCTTCATTTCAGATATTGTATTCTTCATTTCCTCCTGGCTTTATTGATAGTTTCTATGTCCTTTTTCATGCTGGTGTAGTTCATAGTAATTTCCTTGTAGCTTCCATGGAGTTCTTTGTAGTTCTCACTGAGCTCATTGAGTATCTTTATAACCCTTGTTTTGAACTCAATGTCTGATAGTTTGCTTGCCTCTCTCATTTAGCACTCTTTCTGGGGATTCCTCCTTTCCTTTCAGTTGGGGGTTGTTTCTTTGTCTCCCCATTTTAGGTGACTCCTCTTGTTTGTTTCTGCTCCTTAGATTGATCCGCTTTGACTCCCTGTTTTCATGGCATGACCTTCTGTGATATGAGACCTGTGGGATTCAGTGGTGCACTCCTTGATCTTTGATCTCCAGAACTTGATGTTCTTGGGATGCCCTTTATGCTATTTACATGGGCTCTTTGTTGTAATGGGGTTTTGGTTGTTGTTGGTTCATTCTTTGGTGGGTCCTTCCCTCCAGCTGGCTAAGAATCACTCTGCCCACCATGTGGTGCAGGTGCTGCCAGAACAAAGCCAAACATCCCAGGAAACACACCCACACCTGCAAAAATAACCCCCACCCATAATCACACTATCAACAGCAAATAAATCAATATTAATAAAGGTATACAGAGATTAAGACTATTATAAGAAAGGAAAATGAATATGAGATGACTAACTGAAAGAAAAAATTATTTTGAGAGGGTAGAGAGAAGACCAATAAGAGTAGGGAACAGAGACAAGGCAAGGAGAGGAAGAAAGTAAAATTTACATTGTAAATAAAAAAGGGAGGGGAGAAGGTGGAATGAAGTAAGAGAAGGGAAGCATATAGTATTAGGTTTAAACAGAAAATTTTAAAAAATACATAGTGAGAGAGATAAAAAAGAATAGGAACTAAATCGGAGGAAAAGATCTACCACAGCACTATCAACGACAAATGAGCAAAGGTTAATATATATGGGATGGGAACAAGAGGGAAAAAAGAAAGAAAAGCTTAAGAGATGTCTAGAAGAAAGAAGTGATTCTGAGAGAACAGGGGGAGAAGAAATACGAAGAGTGAGGAATGAAAACCAGGCAGAGACCTAGAAAAATTAAAATTTAAAACAAAAAAAGACAGGGAAGTAGGAAGGCAAAATGGAGTAGGAGAGGGGAATGGTGGTAAAATTTGAGATTTGAAATACAAAAATAGTGAAGATCTAAAAATAAAATTGAAGAAATGCAACAACAACCTGTATATCCTCAACTAATGAGGAAAGTTTGATAAAGGTGGAGAGAGAATAAGGGTGTTAATGGGAGAAACTTGGTTCATCCTGCTGATGCAGTAAAGAATTACAGATCAGCAAGTCTATTAGCATGCAGACAAAGTTTATTAGTGCTAAGTTCTAATGGGAGAGCAAAAGCAAGGGTAGCAAGAGCAGGGTGGCCAGAGAGAAGGTGACCAGGGGCCCCATGTGTGGCAAGAGAGTGCCAAGAGAGAGAGTCCTTTGTTCTGAGGATTTACATAGTTGGTGGGATAGGAGTGAGGGAGTTACATATTGATTGATGGGTAAAGGTGGTGCCAGCTTTCCCCTGGGGAGATGTGACTACAAAAACTTAGATCTGGGGGTCTGTTAGCCCAAAGCCTTATCTTGCTCCAGACTCCTTTTGCTCATTTTGTATATGTGACAAGAGGCAGGCAATTAACCATGATTGTTCCATGTGTTTTGTCTTTGGGCACTGTGGACCCCTTTTCCTTCCCTCTTCCAGGCCTTGGGATGAAACACAGTCTTCAGGTTTTTCCAGCTAGTGGGGATGATACACGTAGACTTTCAAGGGCTCCCCAACTCCTAGTTTTGCCTGTGTTGTTTGGCACACCTTGCAGTTTTATTGAACCAGGCTCAGCACTACTGAGTTTGTGGAAGAGACATGTCTTCCTTTGCTTCCAGCCTCCTGCATTGTTTTTTGTTAGATGGCAATGGTGAGGGCCCTTCTTTTATGTCCCCTCTGGCCGCTCATTCTTAGCTGCTACCTAACAAGGGTATTTTAAGAACTGGAAAAAGAATATGAGATGACTAATGACAAGAAGGATTATTTTGAGAGGCTGGAGCGGGTAGAAATAGAGTACAGAATGGAAACAAGTTGTAGGAAAAAGGAAATAAAATTTAAAACAAAAATAAGAAGAGGAAAGAAGAAGGTAAAATGGAGCAAGAGCAGGGAGGAGCAAAATATGAGATTTTTAATAAACTATAATATAAAAACCAGTGACCTAATAGGCACAAACTTAGAAGGAGAAGAAATGAATGTTAAAAAAACTATGCAGGAGAGAAAATAATTCAAAGCATAAAGACCACAGTGGACATAATCTCAGTTCAATCTACTGTTTACCATTGTCTTCTATTTCTAGATCCACCTCTGGTTATGTCAGATGGTGTCCCAGTCTGGCCCTAGGCAGCCTGTTTGAGACTACTAGTGATCCACAGTCTGTGGATGTCTCCTTCAGTTGTTAATCTAGTTATTCTGTAATCCGCAGCCCAGTTTAAGCTCCACAGATCAGGGCAGAGTAATTCCTGAGGGCAGGGCTATTGCTTCCCCTCAGGCTGATGCCACTTGGAGGGGGGTGGTCTGCCTGAGCAAGATGGCTCCTGCAGTGTGGGGAATGACTTAGCACAGGGATCTTGGTGGCTGCTATCTCAGTTCTCTCCCCAAAGCCACCATTCCCAGATTCTTCTCAACTGACTCTAGTCCACTCTGCCTGCCTCCGCCCCCCCCACCCCCGCCTTTGCTGGAGCCCAGGGTAAGTGGCTTCAATAGAAACTGTTCATTGGCCCTTTAAGAGGCTCTCTGTGTCTGCAGTCATCTCTCCCTGGCAGACAGCAACCCTGCCAATTTTCACAGCTAGATGTTATCTGGGTTCTTTTCTGGCTCTGGTGCTGTAGGCTGGGGAGCCCAGCTTGGAGTTTAGACCCCATACTTCTCAGGAGGAACACCCCACCCCCTTAAATATCCCTCCAGCACTTCAGCTGGCACATGTGGGAGCTCAGCTAGTTCTGTCGCACCTCCTCCACACTCTGTACCTGTCACGTTGTGGTGAAGTGGTTTCTTCTGTCCGTCTGTGGTTATAAGACTTCTCTCCCAATATTGTTCAGTTGGTTATTCCAGATGATTTCTCTACAATTTATTTGTAATTCCAGATTGATCCTGGGAGGAGGTTAGTGTAGCATCCACTTCTCTGTCATCTTGAATCTCTCTATACTATATTATTAATAATTCTAGAAGTGAGCATTTTGGGTCTACAATATTTATGAATACTTTGAGCTCTTTAGAATTCTTCAGATCACATCAAATAATATATTGGGGTTTTTTTTCTCCCTCAGATGCGATTTGTTTGAGTAGAAGTCATCTAATGTAACCATATTTATAAGTGTTCTCTTTGAATTAATCAGCTGGTATTTGTTAGTGTTTTTTCTAGGAAGAGAGTCCACGATCTTTCTAAGCCTAAAAAACAATGGGGAATCCCAGATAGGTAAGAAAATATTATATAGTTTTGTTTGTAATTATGTATTCCTTACATTAAATAGGTAAGGATTATTCTTACTTGCCCACTAACTGTGTATCCTAGGTGTGTCCACCTCACTCTTCAACTGGATCCACTGAATCAATATTATCACCTCCGTTGAGCCAACACATGGAAAGCAAACCCCTAAGTCAGCAGTTTCCAAATTTGTGCATTAGAATCACCTGGAGGCCTTTAAAATCAATACTTGGGTCCCACCCCCAGAAATCCTGGCTTGCTTGGTCTGAGGTGCACCCTAGGCTTTGGGACTGTTTAAAGCTCCCCAGATGATTCTAGTAGGCAGGCAGGTTTGAGAACCACCATCCCAGGGTGTTACTCCACATTCCTTTGAAACTCTTGTGTCCATCCTCCAGGTTGCTCCTACTAACATCTGGTCCTGCAGTCTCTCAGCCTCTGTGTAGAGCACACCTGTTCTCTGAACCTCCAGCAGGCTGGACCTACTGTCCTTCCACCCTTGGCCACCGGACTCCCCCTTTTCTTCTTTAGCTCTTGAGTAAAGCCTGAATTTTTCCATTTTTTTTTTTTCTGATTTGCTATTGCTTTTTTCAAAAACTGACAAACTTTATTTTTAAAACAGTTTTAGGTTTACAGGAAAATTGAGCAAAAGAGCAGATAGAGTTTCTATATTACCACCCACTCCTTTAGATTCCACTATTATTACCAGCTTGCATTAGTGTGGTACATTTGTGACAGGTGATGAACAAATATCACCACATTATTATTAACTTAAGTCTATCATTTAGAGTTCACTTTTTAAATTGTACAGTGTTATGTATTTTGACAAATGTATAGTTGCATATCCACCATTACAATGTTATACAGAATATTTTCAGTGCCCTAAGAATTACCTGTTCTCCATCTGTTCATTTCTTTCCTTCTTTCTCCCCTCTCCAAACCCCTGGCAACCACTGATCTTGTTTGCTGTATGTATAGTTTTGCCTTTCCCAGAATGTCATATAGTTGTCATCAAATTGTGTAACCTCTTCTGACTGGCTTCATTCACTCAGCACTAGGCATTTGCAGTTCCTCCATGTCTTTTCACAGCTTGATAACTCATTTATTTTTAGCACTGAATAATATTCCATTGTCTAGGAGTACCCCAATTTATCCATTCATATATTGAAGAACATGTTGGTTGCTTCCAGTTTTTGGCAATTATGAATAAAGCTGCTATAAACATTTGTGTGCAGGTTTTGGTGTAGATAGAAATTTTCAACTCATTTGGGTAAATACCTAAGAGTGCAATTGCTGGATCCTATGGTAAGAATATATTTAGGTTTGTAAGAAACTGCTACACTCTTCCAATGTGCCTGTGCCATTTCCACCAGCAATTAATGAAGTTCCTATCGTTCCATATCTTCACCAGAATTTGGTACTGTTAGTCTCTTGTATTTTAGCCATTCAAAGAAGTATGTAATAATATCTTATTGTTTTTATTTGCGATTCCCTAATGAGATGTTAGCATATTTCGTGTTTATTTGCTGTCTTCATGTCCTCTTTGGTAAAGTGTTCAGATCTTTTGTCTGTTTTCTGTTGTTGAATTTTAAGAGTTCTTTGTATTTTTTGAATACCAGTTATTTATCAGATGCTATCAACTACATGTTTCTGTCCCCTCAAAATTCATATTTTGAAAGCTAATGTGACAGCATTTGGAGGTGGGCTCTCTGGGAGGTGATTAGGTCATGAGGGTGGAGCCCTCATGAAGGGGATTAGTGTCCTTATAGAAGAGGTTCTGGAGAGCACCCTGACCACTTCCACCATACGAGGACACAAGCTTCTGCTTTCACCTCTTATTCTCCCTGAAGTCATTCTCTCCTTTCTAATCTCTGTTTTATTTCATCATTAGGTGAGTCCCCAGTTTTCACCATTTATTCATTCATCAAACCCCGAGTGAGCACCTGTTGTGTACAGCACTAAACTGTGCAAGGGGAAATCTCCAAAAGATTAAGACATAATTTCTCTCCTGGAAGAATATAGAGGGTGGAGAGGAAGGTGCTCCTTGTCAAAATTATGGAGGGCCTTGTCAGCCACAGTGAGGAGTTGGAACTATATTCTAAAGTGAATGGAAACCTTTGAAGTATCTTAAACAAGGAGATGACTCGATCAGACTGGAGTAGAGAAAGATCACCCTGGCAGTGCTATGGAGAAAGGAATGTGGATAATGAGATCTGGACAAGGGAGATAGCAACAGGGGTGGTGAGAAATGAACAGATTTGAGTCATACTTAGGAAAAGGAATCAGCAGAGTGTAGTGCATGGGGATATTAACTATTAGAAATGTTTATTAATAAATTAACTAATACATTAATTAATCAGACTTTGGCTGATGCTTACGAAGTAGAGACAGAAGAATAAGAATATATATAAAAATATAGACAAAATTAGGGAAAAAACAATAGCTGGGGCCTTTTAAAGCAATAAGCTCAATTAGTTGGCAAATTCAGGTATGTGCGAAGTCAGGTGACCAACATAACTTTTTTTGACTCCTTGGCCAGGCCTTCAAGGCCTTCCCCGTCCATTCTAGCAATGTTACTCAATTACTCCCAACATGACTTCCTGCTTCTGCCAAAACATGCTTTGCCCAATCCTTGGTTATTCCTTTTTCTCAGTTACCCCAGCCTGAAAGGTACCTCTTTTCTGGCAGTTTGTGTCTTCTACTTACTTCTTTGAAGCCTTGTCATGTTAATCCGGGACTGATTTCTCTCTCTCTCCACTCCCTACCCAGTAATCATACCTATTTCACAGGTCTGTTGAGACTAAATAATCTGATGTCTATAAAGCACTTAGCCCAGTGCCTGGCCCACAATAAGTATTCTACAAATGATAGCTATTAATATTACTCTGTTACTATTTTATTTTATGACCACCTGGTATAGTTCATCACCCAAAGTGAGAGCACAGTGTAGAGAAGTGGCATGACCATTTTATGTTGAACTGACTATAAATTGCCATAGTAACTATCTGAAGGCAGAAGCAGAACTACCTACTTCTAATGGGTGCATTTTGGTCACCGCATTTTAAGATAGTAGATAAAACAGTCTAATTTTATTTTAACTTCAACTTACATAAGTAATTTATCTGCTTCTGATGCCTGGAAATTGTAAAATTTTGTACTAGAGATAGTTCTTAAACTGAAGTAAAATTAGTAGAGAAGCAGTCTAAGATGTTCATTAACAGTGAATTTCTTTCCTTTTTTTTTTGCTTATTTTATTGAAATTCCTTCCTTCCTTCCTTCCTTCCTTCCCTCCCTCTCCCTTCCTTCTTTTCTTTCTTCTTCCTTCCTTCCTTCCTTCCTTCCTTCCTTCCTTCCTTCCTTCCTTCCTTCCTTCCTTCCTTCCTTCCTTCTTCTTTCCTCCCTCCCTCCTTCCTCCCTCCCTTCCTTCCTCCTCCCACCCTTCCTCTCTCCCTCCCTCTCTCTCCCCCCTCTCCCTCCCTCCCTCCTTCCCTCCCTCTTCCTTCCTTCCTTCCTTCCTTCCTTCCTTCCTTCCTTCCTTCCTTCCTTCCTTCCTTCCTTCCTTCCTTCCTTTCTTTTCTTTTCTTTTCTTTCTTTCTTAGAAAACTGTTTTGGGGAAATCAAGATCCTATTCATCCTGTTTGCCATAGTGCTTTAACAACTTGGCCAACCAAAAGACTTGAGAACCTTGCCTGGCCCAAGGCAGTCTCCTGCAGATATATACCTAACAGGTTAGCATTGTATGTTATCAGGTTATTTTATCAGGAGTCTCTAGGGAAATGAACGTAGAACCCAGCCCTTTTTATCTAAAAGCCATAAATAGTCTTGTAGTCAAAATTTATTGAGGATTACGGAGTCTATATGTTTCTAATCTGATGCTACAGTAAAACTTTTCCAGAGCAAGATCTAATATTTAGCTATTGCATTTGTGTATTATATCTTATAATGTTTTAACTTACCAGGATTTCTGTATTTTAAGAAAATAAGTGTATTATACAAGGATAGACACCACATATAACATTGCTGTGGATAAACTTGTGCATGAAATATTATGAATTTTGTAAGCCCCCATAAGCTTGATTACCACAAGTTAATTAGGACATCTAAAGGTAAGAATGTTTTTAAGGCATTTGATACCCATTATCAATTTGTATTTAGCACATATTTGTTAAATGACTAGGCTTTTTGCTGGTTGGCTCTTTAAGGAACTACTGTGGCTGGGAGGAGGTACGGATACAGGCAGTGAGGGAGATTAAAGTAAAAAGAAAGGTGGAAACACTTTTATTTATCTAAAGTTTGGTTTTCAGGATAAGTGAGGTGGCCATTTCTCTATTTTTTTCAATGTAAAACTTTAATCAAAAGTCAGCAGTTCTTCTGTTAGCACAAGATACAGAGTAGGCCAAAGTCTCTGTTGCAAACGCCAAACTCTGCCATTATAGTGGGAAAGCCGCCATAGACATGCAAACAGAGCATGTCTTTGTTCCAATACAACTTTAAAATTTTGCATCTATGTCCATGAGGGATATTGGTCTGTAGTTTTCTTGTAATGTCTTTGTGGTAATGTCTTTGTTTTTTATAATATCTTTTTTCAGGTAATGCTGTTATCATAGAATTGGAAAATGTATAGAATTGATATTTATTTCTTCTTTAAATATTTGCTAGAACACACTAGTGAAGTTATCTGGGCCTGGAGTTTTTTGGTGGGAAGATTTTTAGCTATAAATTCAATTTATTTAATAGATATAAGGCTCTTATGAATTTGTCAAAGTAACACTTGCTAAGTGGAGCACAGAGTGCCAGATGGCAAGCTGTACTTCAACACTAGGTCATAAAGGAGATTGAAATAGAGAAGCCTATTGCTTGCGGGTCCTAGAGGAAGTACCTGGCATGCCTCAAGCAGCCACACAGGGAGGTCAAGGCAGAGCTCTGACAGAGAAAGGCAGAACCTGGGGCACATGCTTTTATTTGGGCCCATGGGTAGAGTGCTTTGGGATTTCTGGGCTAAAGCCAGATTGGTCGATTCAAACCAAAAGAGTGGGACTTTGGAAAGCTCCGCAGGAATCTTCTATGAGGGGAGCATAAGGACAAAGCGTTGGGAGTCAGGGGAGACAGTTTTAGACCAAGGGCCATTGGTCTAAAGTCATATCAGGAACTTGCATTTACTTTGGGACTTGATGGGCTGCCATCCAAGGCATGTGCTTGAATGAAGGACTAGTGACAGTTTGTCACTGTAGGCTGCTTGGCCAAACAGAATGGATTTGAGACAATAGTACTACGAAGTAGCCTAACTAAACTTTTGAGAAAGTCTTCAGATTATTTCTTTTTGAATGAGCATTGGCAGTGTATGTTTTTCAAAGAATTTATCTATTTCATCTACATTTTAAAGTGTGTTGGCATAAAGTTGTTCATATATTTTCTTATTGTCCTTTTAACATTGTTCGATCCCTGGTGATGATTCCCTCCTTTCATTCCTGATATTGGAAGTTATGCCTTCTTTCTTTTTTACTAATCATTCTGGCTAGAAGTTTATAAATTTTTGGTTTCATCAATTTTCTCTTGTTATTTTGTTGTTTACTATTTTTTAAATTTCTGCTCTGATCTTTATTATTTCCTTTATTCTGATGACTGAGGTGGGGGGTTGCTCCCTTCCCCCCTCCCCCTGCAGTTTCCAAAGGTGGAAACTAAGAGCACCTGCTACCTTGATGGAATTGTGTGACTTGGGTGTGGATGACTGTGGAGGGGAGAAGCATATAAAGACAGCAGCAGTACATTCTATTAATATGCAATACCTATAAAGAGAAAAGATATGCACACATGAAATTTAAAATTAATATACAAGTTGGTTAATCATAAAGTCTTATTTGAATACTGCTTTTTAACTTATAAAATGACATACATCTCTGACTTAATCTTCATAATCACCATAAAATTTATTATTTTCTCCATCTCACTTATGCGCTTCCAGGCGTTGGCAGCATAAGACATGGTCAGTACCTATACTCATGGCATTTGGTGTTTGCCATTCCCATCTGAGAGAATGTTGAATCATTGAGTTATGTCTCTGGTGTCCTCCCATTTTCTTTTTTGCGTCTCTCATCTGCTCCCTGGGCTGCTACCCTTTGCTCTACACTAATACATCTTGCTCTTGTGATGCTCATTGGCTCTCTAATAGCTTCTTCCTCCCACTCCTCCCACACACCTTGCCAGGGTCGGGTCTATCTGAAGTGCCCCATTGCTCAAAATCACCTAATGCCAGAGACGTGCAGGAGGCTCCCTGCCTGTCTGCCTTTGGTTGTGTATGTGGGTGAGGGTGACAGAGTCAGTCCAGTCAGGCCCTGGAGTGTAGGCTGGACAGGCTCAAGCCCTCTGAGAGCAGATATGTGGTACGTGGACAAGCCTCCAAACTGGATGGTTACAAGCAAAGGAGGGAGATGCAGGCTTAAACACACACCCAGGCTTACATTACCAACCAAAAGACGGAGGCCTGGGCAGATGGATGCAGATCCGCATCCATGAAAATGTTAAAGGAGCAGAGGATCTTAGGAAAATATAGAAGTGAAAGTGGGCCTGCAATCCGAGTTAACACCAGGTCCAAAGTAGCCCATCTCACTTCCTGTTCCACTGACGATGTACTGTATCTTGATTAAAAAAAGATTGAGAGGCAGGAATGATAAGAACAGTATTGTTATTTATCCTAAATAAAATTCTAGTTAACAAAACCCAATAATGATGAAACAATCTGTATACTATAATCAAGTAGAATTTATTCCTAAAATCAGAGTTCTTTTTCACAAAGAAAAACATCAATGTAATTCATTCTATTAACTAAAAATATAATAAAAACATGTAAAGTATCTATATAGATGCAAAATAAAACATTATTTTGTTTTAAAGCAGCAAATTTTCTCTTTTTATCAATTTATTTCTTGGTCTGTTTAGAAGATGCAACGTATTTATTATGGAAAGTTATCTCTTTTGGAATAGGACATTAGAAACCAGCTGAGAACTTAATGGCAGTTACCATGTCAGTATATTTTTTTTGGTCTATTTAAAAGATGCAATTTATTTATTTTTTGTCTGTTTTGGAATAGGATATTAGAAGGCAGCTGAAAACTTGAAGGCTGCAACCATTTCTAATTTCTTCCCACGTAGGAAATAGCTCAACATTAAAGGGATAAGCAGTTAAGCCCATTCCTCTAGACCTGAGAGTGTCAATGTTTGAATTGAAATGATAATTTGAATTCATGCCTGTTTCACTCACTTCTTTTCTCTCTACAACTTGCAGGACTCAATATTACTACAGCTGTGGTAGAGAATCTGTAATCTGGGATATGCCTTCTCCTGTGCTGTTAAAAAAACCTTCCAAAAGGATCCAGAAGCTAGCACAGCCCAACAGATTCAAGAGAGTGCATCTTCCAAATGGGTAGAATACCCCAAGACCCTCCATAAATTTTAACCTAATTTGGTTCAATGTCACAATATTGTTGTTTTTATTTTAGTGTATGCAGTTGCATAAACTAAAAGTCATCTTGTGTTTCAAAGGACCAGGGTAAAAAATACTTCCAGCAACTGTAGGTAATAAGACCTTCATCAGTAATTACATCTGATTCAAATATGGTAAAGCTAAAATTCACACTAAACTTAATCAACTGTCCCCCAATTAAAAGGAAATATGCAAATGAAACATTCAGGTTTTTGCAATGTATAGAACTTGATGTTCTCTTATGCCTCTGTGACTTTACACATGATCTTTCTTTGGCTTTGAATGCTGAATTTCTCCTTGTCTTTAACATACAGCTTAGTAATATCTTCCACAAGGGAGCTAAGATTGTGATGTGTCTGCTGGAATATGCTATATTACATTAGTGGAACATGTACAGTGCACAATTACAGGAAAATGGTAGTACTACTATACACTACTTTAGTCAGAACACATTCGGTGTATGTCTTCAATTACAGATGTTATACCTTAGGGTTGGGGGGCTGGGTGAAAAAGGTAAGGGGATTAAGGAGAACTAATTAGTAGCTGCAAAATAGTCATGGGGATATAAAATATCCAGCATAGGGAAGATAGTCAATAATATTATAATAAGTATGTGTGATGCCAGGTGGGCACTTGAAATGTCACGGGGACCATCTTGCAAAGTATATGATTGCCTAACCAACATGATGTATACCTGAAACTAATACAAAATAATATCGAATGTAAACTGTAATTGAAAAATAAAAAATAAACTGATAATAAATCTGAAACTATTCAGAAGGAGATAAATGATGCCCTGGCTGGTGTGGCTCAGTGGATTGAGTGCCAGCCTGTGAACCAAAGAGTCGTCGGTTTGATTCCCAGTCAGGGCACATGCCTGGATTACAGGCCAGGTCCGCAGTAGGGGACTGAGAGGCAACCACACATTGATGTTTCTCTATCTCTCTTTCTCCCTCCCTTCCCTTCTGTCTAAAAATAAATATAAAAAATCTTTTTTAAAAAAAGGAGATAAATGAGATGTTGAGGTTTCGAAAACTATGTTATATGAAAAATATTTAGGGGAAATGACATGTTTAGCTTAGAGAAGAGACCAAGGAAGCAGTGGTAATTGTATTCAAATGTTTAAAGGGTCAACATTTGAAAGAGGAAGAGAAGATGGAAGAGACATTACTCTATGTTGATCCTAGAACTAGAAGTTGAACAGGAATTTACAAAGCAGCAGACATCAACTAAGTTTAGGAAAATCTTTCTGATTAGCTATCCAGTAATGGAAAGGTTTATTGGGAAAAGTCAATTGCCTCCACCTCAGTTTCTGAAAGTGTTCAAGCATAGACTGGGATGATCACTTTATACTGATTTTAATAAAGATTCCTGAATTCAGAGAGAGTTTGAACTGGACAATTTAAGTCTTCCATCATAGAATCCACCAAAAGAGGCCCAATTCCTTCCACAGAATTTCTTCATTTGCTTATTTATCAGTTCATTTGACAAAATCTGCTAATTTAGTTAAAATATACATATAAATTTGTAGTTACATATCTACATTTATAAACCAGAGGAATACTGTATTTATCTGTCACCACATTCTGAGACACCTGACTTTGATGTTTCATACTAGTGAAACCTCCTTGAACTCTAAAACTTTTTACATTTTTAAAACTTGATGCCTCCTTGCGCTCCAAAACAGATTCTTCAGCTACTGAACAAACATGTAACCTTTGTTCACTGGCTTAACATCTTCATTATGAACATCAACTACTACACAGTACTTTAATACATAAAACCTCTTAGGAGCTGATGAGTATGAAATACAGTTTTTCTTTAAGTGAAATGGTCTGACCTCTGTGGTTTTATATTAGGAGATGTTTGCCACATCGTTTTCCTGTCGTTTCTTATTTTATTGGGAGAATAGCCTCTAATCAGCCTCTTTTCTGATCTTCTCTGCACTGGAAACAGATAACCAGCTTGTTAGAATCATGTGAGGGAGGGAAAGCAAGTGCTTAATGAAAACACACAGGGCTCCTCAATGTGTGTACTATATGAGTTTGAACTTTGTGATGTATATTTTAGCCGATTCACTAGAAGGACTCAACATGAAATCTGAGCAGTCAGAAGACAGAATCAGCCAACTTAAAATAGGTTGAGATTATAAATTTGAGGAACAGGGAAAAAAAAAGGAATGAAATAAAATGAACAAAGCCTCATAAACCTGTGGGTTGCCATCAAAAGTATTAATATACCCTTGATGGGAATCTCATAAAAGAGGGAGGAGAGGTAATGGGGCAGAAGGAATATCTGAATAAATAATAGCCCAAAGCTTCCCAAATTAGATGAAAAATATGAATCTACACATCAACAAACTTCGAGTATGATAAATGCAGACATACATAACTTGACACATCATAATCAAACTATTCACACTCAAAGACAAAGAGAATCTTGAAAGCAGCAAGAGAAAAATGACTCATCACATACAAATGATCTGCAATAATATTAACAGGTGATTTCTCACCAGAAACCATAGATGCCAAAAGGCAGAGGGATGACATATTTAAAGAACTGAAAAAAAAACCCCCTGTTAGCCAAGAATACACTAATGAGACCATCCTGCAAAAATGAAGGAGAAATTAAAGAGTTCTCAGCTAAACAAAAACTGACAAAATTAATTGCCAACAGACTTGCTTTACAATATTGGAAGTCCTTCAAGCTAAAATGAAAGAGCACTAGAAAATAACTTGAATCCACATGCAGAAATAAGGGACATTAACAGCTAACCACATAGGAACATATGAAAGACAGCATAAATGTATTTTCCTGTTTGTAACTTTTATTCTCCTACCTGATATAAAAGACAGCTTCATAAACCAATAATTATAAACCTGTGTGGATGGGCATATAATGTATTTTTTAAAGAAGCACGAAGGAGAGGGAGACATGAAGTGGTATTAATTTGAATTAGATTATTATAAGTTAAGATGTATAGGGCAAAAAGTAAAAATATAGTTATTAAAATATGGTAAAATAAATAAGGGAATTAAAATGGTATACTAAAACTAATACTTTACAGGAACAAAAAAGGAGTAAAAAGATGTAACACATAACAACAAATAAAATGGTGGGCATAAACTCTATGTTGCCAATAATTACATTAACTGAATACTCCAATCAAAAGGCAGGGATTGACAGAATAAATAAAAAACATACTCAAGAATGTGTTACCAAAAAGACACATACTTTAGATTCAAAGAAACAAATAGGCTGAAGGTCAAAGGATGGAAAGAGATATCCTATGAAAACCAACCAAAAAAGAGCTAGAGTGGCAATACGCACATCAGACAATATATACTTTAAGACAAACATTGTTACTGTAGACAAAGAAGGACATTTTATAATAATAAAATGATCAGTCCATTAGGGGAATATAACAATTATAAATATATATGCAACTAACATAAATGCATATGTTGCATAGATGCATATAAAATAGCTGAAGCAAAATCTGACAGAATTGAAGAGAAATAGACAATTAAACAATAATAGTTGAATTCTTCAATACCACACTTTCAGTAAGGAGAAGAACAAGTAGATGATCAACAAGGAAATGGAAAGCTTGATCAACACCATAAATCAACTATACCTGACAGACATTCATAGAACACTCCACTCAACAATAGCAGAATACATATTCTTCTCAAATAAAACATTCTCTATGACAGGTGATATATTAAATCATAAAACAATTCTTAATAAATTTAAAATAATTGAATCATACATAATTAGTTCTCTATCAACAATAAAATGAAATTAGTAACCAATAGCAGAAGAGAATTTGGAAAATTAAAGAAATATGTGAGACTAAATACATTCCTAACTAAACAATGGGTCAAAGAAGCAATCACATTGTCTTTACTATATATAGTAAAAAATGAAAACACAGTATATCAAAACTTATGATATGCACCTAAAGTAGTGCTTAGTAAGAAATTTATCTGTAAATGCCTACATTAAAAAAGAAAAGAGATCTCAAATTATAACATAATCTTCCATCTTAGGAAATTGCAAATAAAAAAGCAAATTAATTTAAAACAAACAGAACAGAGAAAAGAATAAAGATTAGAGCGGAAGTAAATAGAAATTGGAAAAACAGAGAAAATCAACACAACCAAAAGTTTGTTCTTTTCAAAGATCAACAAAACAAACCTTTGGCTAGACTGACCAAGATAAAAAGAGAGAAGACTCAAATTACTAAAATCATAAAGAAACAGGGACACTTCTAAGGGTCATTTACAAAAGAAGGGTCATTACTACTGACCTTATAGAAATAAAAAAGGATTTTAAGGGGTTACTATGAGCAATTGCATGGCCAACAAATTAGATAACGTAAATGGACAAACTCCTAGAAAGGCAAACTATTGAAATTGACTTGATAATTTAAAAGAAATTCTTAACAGACCTATAACAATAAAGAAATTGAATTAATTATAAGAGAAGAGAATACAGACAGTATCTTTTATGAATATATGTAACAGTCCATGCCAAAATACTACCAAACCAAATCCAAATATGCACACAACCAATCCACACCAAACTACTAACAAACCAAAGCCAACAACATATAAAAATAATTATACTCCATGACCAAGTTGGATTTATCCCAGGATTATAATTTGTTTGGTACAACATACTAAAATCAGTGTCTCCATCAGTGGATTATGAAGTCAGTTTCAGCTTTTCTTTTAATGAAAATCAAATGAAATTTTAAAAATCAGAATACATTGCCTAAGGCAAGCATCGTTTCATGATAATTTTGTTTCAGATACACACACAGATTTACATATACTGTATCACAATGTAAAATGTACCTCTTTCAGTGGATCAAAGTAAAAAATTTTGAGAAACACCAGCCTGGTAGAAAGAGCACTAGTGATTATGGGAAAAGATGTTCCAAAGATAGAAACAATATATATAATTGTATGGAGGTAGATTATAGCAATGAAAAATGCTATTGGTCCTTTAATGATTACAATGTTCTGTTCCATTTGCATGTAGATCCTTCAGTGATTACTTAACAAGAAGTCCTCTTCAATTCTCTGGTCCGTCTCCCCGGATATTACGACTCTCACTAGCCAAAGCCATACATCCGAACTATGTTCCTCCGAAAGGTGTAAGTGGGTCATGAGAAAGAGACAGTTGCTGATTGACTTTGTAATATGTAACGTGTTTGTAAAGGTAACACATTCCCCTTTTATTTCTAGGTCTGTATTTTCCTTTTCTTCCTGTTTATATTCCTCTCTCATCACATGAACTGTTCTGACTACCTTCCCTGTGTCTCATGTATCAGTCAGGATTTTATCAGAAAAGCAGAACCATTATGAGTAATATAAATAGAATTAGACCTTAAGCAATTGTGGGAGCTGATGGAGAAGTCAGTGAAACCCCTGGTTATTGGCCCCTGGAACTTGGTTCTGGTTATAGATCTAGAAACAATGAGAGATAGTAGGGGTAGATCAGTAGTTCCCTGGAAAGTATTTACTTCAGGGGAAACCATTACAGTTTCTTCAAGCAAGGAGCGCCTAACCTCCGGCAGGGCAGGAAGGGCTGATTCTATCCGTAAGGAAGGCTCAGCAGTATTGAGGGGTTTAAAGTGCCCAAGCTCGTTGGAATCGGCACACATGTGCCTTGTCCAGTTTTCAAGGTTGCATTTCTTCCTTATCAATGGTCTAAGTTTAATATCAGAGACCATACTATCGGAAATTCAATTTGCACTGTAATTCACCCAAATGCAGAATTAGATATAGAGCTAGTGTTCAGAATTTTTAGCCATGTGACCAGAGAAGATAAGGGGTTCTTTTAAGTAAGCCCCCAAAACTTTCTGACCACTTACCCCCAAACTTAAGGTGGGAATTTAAAGGCTTCAGCGGATCATTTCTTTTGTCAGGTTTTCCAATACACTTAGAAGCAATCAACTAGCTCCACTACACTCTTCTATTTTACTAGAATATTCTCTACTGCTTCGTCACCTAAAGTCTTGCTTTCTGTTTTGCCGCCACATGCCATGGACTACCAGTGTCTTTTTTTTTTTTTTAATCACTGGCAAGAGGATTATTAATACCTTAGATTATTAAATCTAATCAGCTCATAAAGAAAATTCCAGATCATCTAAAAACAATACAGAGACCCCACCCTTAAAGTTCTGATCTGGTTATCTGTTGCTTCATACCAAACCATCTCCAAACTTCATGACATAAAACAACCACCATTTTATTATGCTCAAGGATTTTGGGAGTCAGAAGGTCTGATAGGGCAAGCAGGCTTGTCGCTGCTCCATGATGTCTGGGGTCTCAGCTGGGACATTTCTTATCGCTCAAGTGCCTGAAACTTTAGGGGGCTGGAATCATCTGAAGGCTCCTTCACACCTGTCTTACTCACCTCAGGCTCTATAACAAAATACCATAGACTGGGTGGCTTAAACAACAGTTCTGGAGGCTGAGAAATCCAAGATCAAGGTGCCAGGGGATTCTCTTCTTGATGAGGGCCCTCTGTCCAGTTGTAGACACAGACACCATCTTGCTGTGTGCTCACAGGACCTCTGCTTTGTGAGGACCTCTGCTTTGCGAGCAGCGCAGAGAGAGAGTTCTGATCTCTCTTCTTCCTCTTAAAAGGACACTAAACTCATTAGGAAGGTTCCACCTTCATGATCTTATCTAAACCTAATTACCTCCCAAAGGCCCCTCTCAGTATTAAGGTGAGGTAGGGCTTCAACTGAATTTTGGGTTGGAGGGGAGGACAAAAACATTCCCTCCATAACAGTAACTGTTTGCGGTACCGAGGCTGGGGTGACTTGAAGGCTAGGCTCAGCTGGGAATATTTACAGCAGCGCCTTTGTATGGCCTCTCCATGTGGCTTTGACCTCCCTCAGCAGAACAGCTGTGTTCTGAGGACTATCCTAAACTAGAGTTCCCATCGGCGAGCATTCCAAAAGAACCAGGAGGAGGCTGCACGGTGTTTTATGATTTGGCTTTGGAAGCCACATCACGTCACTGCATTCATACTCTAGTAACTGATGTGGTTAGACGTCTGGCCAGATCCAAGGGGGCAGGGATGCAAACCCCGCCTTTCAGTGAGAGAAGTGGCAAGGAATTTATACTCTTGAGGAAAAAACCCTGCCACGCCCAATGATGTGTGTCTTGGTATCCTTGAGCAGGGTTTTTACACGCAGAAGAGACTTCAGAGGTATGTTCTTGATTTAATTCCAAGTTAAAAAAACCCTTTTTTTTAGGCTATACATGTAAGTTTATCTTGGAAGTGTTATTGTTCTGTTTATAATTTTAGCAGTTTTTAATAATAACTTTTAAGAGTCCTGAATGTTTTATTTGGTTTCAAACTTAAATACTTTTAAATACATTATGTTTAAAAATTACATTAAATTTGATTTTTATAAGTATTTTACTTCAACCATCTACTTAAACAGACAAAACCTTCTCAAATATTAAATAATTATTTTAAATCTAATACTTTAAACTTATAAATATGGTGAACCTGCAGTTTTTTTTAATGTGAGAATGACATAAACTTAAGATTTCAACTTAATGACATAATTCTAAATCAGTCACTCAATTATACACTTCACATGGTAGTTGTAAGGTTATCACTCTAACAGATCAATTTCTTTTTAAACATGTACATATTTTTTATTTTAATAGTATATGCATACTTTCAATAATAATTTCAAGTGCATGGAAAAGTTGCAAAAATTCACATTTCGTTTCATTGGCTTTAACATTCTCTCCTTTATGGTGTTTGTTTATGTGTGTGTTTGTTTTTTTAACTGAATCATTTTTTAGAATAAGTTACAGACATTATATACCCTTTTTCCTAAATACTTCAGTGTGTATGTTGTAAGAACTACAATACTAATATCAAAATCAGGATATTTAACATTGATGTAATGCTATACCTACTTCATGGTCCATGTTAAAATTTCATAAATGCTTGCATAGCCTTATTCTTCACACAACTATTAATTCTATGATTTCGATGCCTTTAGCTTTTTATAGTTAATTCTAAATCTTCCCAGAGTTTAAAAATAACACACGCCCACAAAGGAAGCCAAGTCACTATCACTGGCGCCTGAGGTTATTTGCCACCAGACTTTGAATGGATGAACTATAGGAAGTCCTTTTGCCCTGTGAACATCATACCAAGTCTCTGTTTACAGTAACTTTGTCAGGACTACAAAACTTAGAAAAGGGATTAGTTTCATAGCTCATTTACTTAACGTGTACTTAACATATATCAGAAACTCCCATTCAGACTAATCAACCTGTTTGGATTTTTTAAACCTTTGACTCAATAAATTTTAACTTTTAAGGCTCATTTTTGTATCTAGCAGATACCTTTGAGTATTACCCACATGTGTTCTGGGTATTTCACATGGCCTTGTCTGACTTGCTGTACTAACTTGTAAGGTCATTTTACCAACATAGTCCTCCCTTATCATTTTCTGAGATAAAAATTCTAGAAGTAAAATTACTGCATCAAGTATGTGAACATTTTTGAGGAGATTCATTTAAAAGCCCTAAATGTGTTCCAACAAAAGTGATTTTGATTTACATATCTACTTAACTCTACTTGGGCTGCCTTTTTCACTGCACTCTTGCCAACATTAGATATTATTTATTTATGATACTAATTTTATAATTAAAATATCTTAACAGAAACAGACACATAGATACAGAGAATGGACTGCTGGTCGCCCAAGGGGGAGAGGTTTGGGGGACTGGGTGAAAGAGGTGAAGGGACTGAGAAGTACAAATTGATAATTACAAAATTGTCATGAGGATTCAAGTACAGCATAGGAAACATCATCAGTAATATTGCAATAATTATGTGTGGCACCAGTTGGGTACTGGAAATATCAGGTAGAGCACTTTGTAAAGTATACGATTATCTAACAGAAATAAATAAATAAAAGCAAAAAATAAAATAGTGAGTTCTTCAATCTATATGAAGTATTTTTATATAAAATGGCAGGAATCTCCTCTCATTGCCCGAGCCTTCATTTATCCACTGCCAGCGTTATTATATACCATAACATTGTTTATACTAGGGTAGCAGTTTTTAGAAATGTAACCCAGGTATGTATAAAGGTTTCCCAGACCCTTTTAAGTAATCTACAAACTCAGAATCATGCATGAGTAAGAGGGTCATTCAGTGTGCAAGATAGACCAATGGATTTTAAGGTAATGAAATATGAACAGTTCATTGACATAGTTTCAGATTGTACATAGTTTCAGATTGCAACTAATATTTGAGAAGCTACCATTTCTCAAGTTTTCTTGTAGTGTCAGAGAAGAATATCCACAGTTAAAAGGTTGTGAAAATACACATTTCCAACTACTGCATGAGGCTGGATTTTCTTCACATACTTCAACCAAAACAACAGTGTCCTCTTAAGCCAGATATTACAGAGATTTACAAAAATTAAAACATTCCAATTGCCTCATTTGTTTTTGTGTTTTGGGAAATACAGTTTTATGTCATAAAAAATTTATAGTAACATGTAATAAACTTACTTTTTAAAGATTAAATGATAAATTTTCTTAAGTGTCTCAGTCTTTGGGAAAAATCATTTACTTTTAAGAGTAACTTAAAGGGGGTCTAGACAAAAAAAAAATTGAGTCACTGGACTAGATCATATTTCTGAATTCTCTATTTGGTTACACTGATATATTGTGCAAGTATCATTTTGCTTAAATATTGTAACATTAAAAAATATCTTAGGGCCCTGCCTGTTGTGGCTCAGTGGATTGAGCGCTGGCCTGTGAACCAAGGGGTCGCTGATTCGATTCCCAGTCAGGGCACATGCCTGGGTTGCAGGTTGGGTCCCTGGTTGGGGGCGCACAAGGAGCAGCCACATATTTATGTTTTTCTCCCTTTCTCCTTTCTTTCTCCTCTCTAAAAATAAATAAATAAATAAAATCGTTAAAAAATATATTAGGATGGGGTAGGATATGTATACCCTTGTTTGTCTTCTTTTGGCTATAATTTTCCTATTATCCTTCCAGCTTCCTATGTCCTTGCTTCTGTCCTTCTCACACACACCTGGTAGGTTAATCTCCAGCTCTGATCATGCTTACTCTCTCATATAAAGATTTGATGGTTCTTTGCTGGCTATGAAGAATGCCCCTCCCCCACAACTAATCTGGCTACAAATGCATTTTCAAGCCTGATCTCCCTGCATAACCAGAGACAATCTCCTCCACGCTTCCTTGCCTCTATGGACGGACTTTCCTTTCTTTTCTCTTTTTTCCTTATCCTTTCTTTTAGTATTTTATTTTTTATTGTATTATTTCCATGATTATTTACCCCCCTTATACCTTCCACTTCATCATTCTTTCTTTATCCTTCCTATCTTTCCTCCTCCCTCTACTTGTCAAAATTTGATCCTTCCTTTAAGGTCCAATCTCATGTTTTTTTATTCCTGAAAAGGGAACCCTTCTGGGATTTTCCCACTCTTCCTCCGATGTCTTTCAAAGTCTTATTTATTATTTTTTATGGGTATCAAATAATCTCAATGATTTTCCTATAGGGCTATGGTTTCTTCTAAGTTGAAAATCACTTTAAGGAAAGAGATTGTTTAATTATTATTTGTTGTGTCTTACATAATATAATTGATCAAGAGATATTTGTCTAATGAATTGAATTAATAAATGATTGTTTTATTTCCTTTTCAATTGTAAGTCTTAATTGAAAGCGATAGTTATTATATATTTCTCTGATTTTCCCAGGGCCTGATAGGAGACAAAGCTTAACTCATAGTAAATACTTATAATTCTTATTTAGTACTTCCTGATGTTGTACCAACATATAGGATATTCAATTTTGAAGCCCTGTTCTGGCACTTACTAACTATATAAACTTTAATAAACTGCTGACCTTCAAAGTACCTTGGTTTCTCCAGTAGTGAGATAAAGTAGAAATGATAACCCACGTGAGGAATAAATGAGTTAGTACATGTAGAAAACTGTGAGTGTTAGAATCATCATCATTTTAAACAACATAAGTTGGCATTAAGAACATACATTTATATTATTTTTCCACCCACAATTAAAACCATATTTTATTTCCAGTTAATGATTATATTCCCTCTCAAATTCTTATGGTAAATTTTGAGTTCAAATACTAGTAATTTAAATAGAAGTCCATGAATTTGAACATATTTCCACAGTTAAGGTAGCGAGAAGTGGCCTGGGGGACCAGAACCACATTCTCCATAGAGGTGCGTTCCTCTTGGCTTTGGTTTCTATTTTGTATCCATTTGACTTGTAAGAAAGCCACCAAAGTTTACTGGAAGCATGGGGATTGGTGATGGTGTGAGTTCCAGTGTCAGAAGGGCAAAAATAGTTAACAACACAGTAGAGCTCGGCCCCTTACAGTGTTTTCATGTGGTAGGGCTGGGCCTTCCCTCTTGGCTGAGTTTATGACTCCATAAATCAGCCATTTCCTCCCCATCTGCAGTTTTTTAACAGTAAGTCTCTGAAAAGTTGAGTTGGAATCCATACAACCTAGTTTGAGAAAGATAGGAATTGATCCTTTCAACTATGATTGTGAGGTCCTGCAATTCTCTTCTTATTCTTCCTGCTGGAATTGCTGAGAAGTCTGGTCCAGAGGGCAGACCTACCCTGTAACCTTGATCAAGATAGTGTTTATTATTTGATACATACAGGTACTGCTTTATTTTTCTCCTCTAGACTGAAACCAAGATTTCAATTTCTGCCTTGAATGCTGTCGCAAGTCCTAGAATTGTAGACCTTGCCCATCCAAGGATCAAGATAGAGGGTCTGTGCTATGCAAGAGAAAGAAGTGAAATGCCCATCCGTCCTGTAAGCCCTTCCTGCATCGGTGTCCTTCCGCTCACTTTCCGGTTGTTCCTAGGGTGCTATTTTTCCTCTCCAGGGCATTGGCACAAATCACTGAAAAACAGAGTCTCGAAAGAGAAGTCTGTGGCAGGAAGGAGGCCTTACCTGTCAGATAAGGAGAGGGACTGGGGGATAGAGGGTAAAGAGCATGAACTTTGGAGTCAGTGGCAGCTGGTTTCTAAGGACAGCCTTGCCACTCTAGCTCCCTGATGTTGTGACAACCTTCCTGAGCCTTGCTCATTCAACAAGTATTTGAATGCCTACTGTGGGCCAGACACTGTTCCCAGTGAATAAGATGGAGAGAAAAAAAAAATATTAGTAGGCAAACGATAAGATAACATGAAGTAGTGATAAGTGCTATGAAGAAAATAAAATAGAAAATGAGTGATTATGGGGATAAGCTACTTTGCGTTTGGTAGCCAGGGAAAACCTCTCTGAGGAAGGGATATTGCAGCTGACACCTGAAAGAGGAGATGGAGTTAGCTACGTGAAGATCTGAGAAAAGAGTATTTCAGTAAGGGGAAGAGTACACGCCAGAGTCCTAAAGTGGGGTGACCTTAAAGTTGGGGGAGCAAGGGGAGCAAGGGAACTGTAAAGATAACAGTTTCCACTTGGACAAACTGTTAACCACCTATAATAATAGATAAGGCACATGCTGGGCACCGAACCTGGCATGTTCCGCAGCTTCCCTTACTCTTCCTCCCGACACTCCCCTCCGCTCATTGTGGTAGCACCTTGGTGCCCAATCCCAGTTGAGTTTTTAATAAATAATGATTATGCTGTCAAAGAAGGTGGGACAAATTTCATCCTCTTTCTCAGAATCTGAGGATTTCATATGGAAATTCAATTTGGAAAGAAAACTAATCTGGGAAATAAAAATCTTTGAGAGAGTGTCTTATGTTTGCTAGAGTGACTTGCCTTTTGTCCCTCAAGCAAATTACTTTATTCTTAGTTTTTTGGTATTAAAATGAGAGTTATAGGCATTTTTCTTCAATTACTAGGATTGTTGGGGAAGGGGGCAATTAAAAATCTTTTTTAAAAAGTGGTACCACTGCAGATAATCATGCACTTAGAACCAAACAGATCTGTACCACTGCAACATAGAACACGTTCAGGGGTACTGGGTGGTGTTTGTGGTCCATCCCAATTCTTTCCGCTGAACACTTAAGAGAGAGAACAGTGGCTATACATCTTCCTTCCTGTTTTACCAGTAAAGCAGCATAATAGAAGGGCAACTTGGCAAATGTGACTTTCAAAGTAAGACCACAAGGAATTGATCAATCAGTCAGTCATTTTGTGTTTATTCTGTGCCAATTATGCGCCAGAACCTATTCTAGCTTTTGGAAAACAAGTACACTAAGTTCTCACTTAACATCATTGATCAGTTCTGTGATCATAAGCAAATAATATATATCCAAACCAATTTTACCATAGGCTAATTGATATAAACAAGAGGTGAGTTCCTAAGAATTTCATCAATGTTATGATGAACCAGCATTATCTGAGGACCTGCTGTACTTCTCTCAAGCAGCTTATATTCTGATGCAACAATTTTCAACTGGTGTGCTGCAAGAATTTTAAAAGCATGCAATACCTGACTACTTAGTCAGGGGCACTGACCTCTTTTTCCTTAGACTGCCAAATAAAATTGACAGCAGCCAACACAATAACCATCTGGTGTGAATGAATCAAAAGTATACTTATTTTTTGTCAGATTGGCAAAAAACACAATATATTTTTTGGCGTGCCACAGAATTATAGTAATTAGTTTATATGTGTCATGATATGAAAAAGGTTTAAAATTACTGTGCTAAGGAGAAAAAACACACAATAAAATATCAACAATGAGATAAATGAGCTAAATCAGGAGCTGGAAAGTGCCATGAGGAAGATTAGTACCATGGAAGAGGGCAATTAGAAAAGCTGATTTATTTTGCACAGTTAGGGAACAAGAAGTCCTTGAGGATGTGATGTTTGAGCCAAGAGACTTAAGTGATAAAGGAGCAGCCATGGCAGGATTGAGGGAAGAGGAATTCAAGCAGAACCCGCAAGTGCAAAGTCCTGAGATGGAAAGAGTGGGGCCGGGGCCGGGGGGGGGGGGGGGGGGGGAGCGCCTGGTGTGGTCATGGGGGCGGGGCCTCACAGTGATCAAGGTGGGGAGTGGTGCAGCGGCCCGATCCCGCTGGGCCCTCCATCTAGGCCACAGTGAGGAGCCAAAATGTTATTCTTTGCAAAGTGGGAATCCCCTGGAGGCTTAAACCCTGGAAGTGACATGATTTGTCTTGGGCTTCGGAAAGTACTTACCTCATGGAGTTGCTATGATGACTAAGTGGCAACGACATAGGTAAATGACTTAGAACACCGCCTGGCTCATGGTACACGCTGACGAAAAGGCTCATGCCCTCCCTCAGTAGCTACTATGTGAATGTTAGATTGTATATGGGCAAGAATGGAAGCAGGGAAACCAGAGTCTATTGTAGGAATCCAGGAAAGAAATGATGGTGACTTGATTGGGGATATAGTTGTAAAGAGAGGGATACGTGGTAAAATTTGGGGAATGAATTTTGTGTCTTTTCATTTCCAATGTAGATATCCGAAGCTGCCTTGCAGGCCAAACCTAGCCCTCGAATAATAGCTCTAGCTAAGGCCAAGTCTCTTCATGAAGATTATTTACCTCCCCGTGATCCCTCCTGGCCAGTCTCTCATGCTGCTATCCATTCCAGAGTATCTCCCAGAATTCAAGAACTAGCTAATCCAACTACAAGGTAGGTCGGTTTAAGGCAGAGATGGGACAGGAAATGATGGCGGTGCTAGGGACAGAGGAAAGTTGGCCTAATGGGGCCAGTGAAAAGAACTGTAGAAATATGAGAAAACTTTAAAAACATCTCTCTCATTTGTTACATTTATTGTGACAAATAAATATAAGTCTATAATTAAAGGGTTAGTGCGCTAGTATTGAGACATAGATCTAGGAGACAACTCTAATTATGGCTATTGTATTATTTATTTATCTAACATATATGGTTAAAGTGAAATAAGTTACAAAACAGAGCACATAATATGTTATAGTTTGTGCAAGAAAAAAATACGTATGTGCCATATATTTGCTTGCATATGTCTACAATGTCTAAGAAGGGCACGGAAGAGGCAGTAACAATGGTTACTTTTGGAAGCCTGGGGACCTGAGATGGGAGTAAGAATTATTTTTTCACTAAATAGGCTTTTGTATTTTTCAATGTTTATGTACCATGTACACATATGACCTATTTCAAATAAATGAGAAAATACTTCAACAGAGAAGAAAATGTCTCTAATTCCTGTTTATTTTTTAAAAAACTTCTTAACTTGCCTGAACCTCAGTTCATTTAGTTGCCTTCAAGGGATAATACCTGATCCCTTTTTTAAGCATCATCAGGGAAGCGTGGAGTCACAGAAAAAGCTGTAGAACCTCTGAGCTCAGAGAACAGGAAATGTGTTAGTTCTTCTACAATATAGTATTTTAAAATTTGTGTGAGATGTTTTTCCTTTAAGAAGGAAGTTCAACATCAATGAAATGAAGCATATTCCCTGTCCATTGGCAAAGGGGTGGGAGGAAGAGTGAGATCGCAGGCTCGCGGTCCCTTCTCTAAAGTTATTACTTGGTGGTAAGGTGCTAAGGGGGAAAACTTCAAAAATTTGATTTCTTTAAGTCCACCAGAGGACTGTCTGGCTTGTTTTAACATTGCTACCTTACTGAGAAGTTTCCAGAATTTACTTTCTGTGGTAAGAGCAAAGGCTTTGGAATCTGGCAGATAGTTCCAATCTGGACTTGACCACAGATCATTCTTACAGCTCCCCGGAGGCTTCGTTTCCTCATCTGTGTGGTGGGGGTCAGGACGGCTGTTTCATGGGTGCCTATGAAAATCAAAGCGGGATCACACTGCTGTCCCTTCCACATAGCGGATGCTTGAGAAATGTTAGTGCCACTTTCTGTTCATCTTCTTTCAGGTTGAATTCTTTTTTCCCCATTTCAGGACTCCTGTGCATATTGTATACTACGATCCACAGGTCTTTAAAGTCAAGCCAGCTGCTTTGAAATCACGATGTTCTCAGAGGATCCAGGAGTTGGCAGAACCTCTCATACGTTAAACATAGAAAGCTACATCACTCCGACTCTAGTTATGTACTTAGGAGACATCTTAGATGGCTTAGTCCCCTTCTCGAATATTCTCAGTATGTATTCCCCCTACAACTTCAAAAACATGCGAGCGCCACTGTGACCATCAATTAGCAATTGCTGCTGTGACCTGTAATCATGTGTTTAAGGGGTTTGGGGACTCCAGCATGCAATAAACGAGAAACTGAGAGCCTGTCTTATCCTTTCTGTCGCCTCACAAGCCCCTTGGCTATGACGCATCTGAAGAAACACTCTTCCTGAGGTTGGCCAGTTTTGTTTTCTTATCCCAGGTAGGTCCACGTTCCCGTAGCTGGTCCGGCCTCGGTGCCTTTTCTCACTAGTCCTGAGAACTGAAAACAGGCTTTGTGTTCCTTTTCCAACCTCCCCTCATTCCCAAGAAACAAGACTGAAAGAGCGAAACATTTTTGGATAAGTCTGAAAGCTTTCTATAATCTGTAGATGAAATTTAGGGAACAGGTTACCTTAAATGATCACACCTCCACCAATTTCTGTTCCTTTGCTCATGCTGTGCCGTTTATCCTGAATGACAGAAAAAGCAAGGCATTGAGTAAGTGTTATAATTCTTTGTCAAATTGCGCCTGCTCAGTGTTTTTTATTTAGTTTATTTGTTCTGTGCTTGGATCAGTATTTTACACATTAAACTAACTTTTATGACATGTCTGGATTTACATGAAAATGAGCTTATTTGAAAACCAGTTTTACAGATGAATCAGCTCTGTCTCTCAGGCTTCTGTGTGTAGAAGATAACTAGTGTTTTGGTGAGACAATACTACCTAGAAGCCTTGAACTTGAGTTTTGGTATCAGACAGACCTGAGTTTGTCTCCCCTATGGATCATTTACCAGATATGTAATTTTGAACAAACTCCCTAACTCCTTGTGCCTCAGTTTCTTTATGTGTAAAGTGGGTTCCCACTGCATTATTATACAGATGAAATGAGGATGTTATCTAATGAAGTATGTGTAGGAAATAATTATTTAAAAATTTAGCTGCTTTTGCCTTCTGAGGGGGGCATGGTATACTTTATTTCATTGGGAAAACAGATCTCTTTATGGCTTGATTCATACATTCAATAAATGCTTTTGAGTATCTTTGCTTTGTACCATGCTAGGCACAGGAGACACCACAGAAAGTCAAACAAATATGGGCTTGACTGTCATGGACTATTTAGCCAATTGGGAGAGAGGCATATACTTCAAACAATAACAAATAAATGCAAAGTTACAACAGCGGCAAGCGCTCTAAAGCAGAGATTATCATACTAGGAAATAACAGAACAGAGAACTTTGACTCCCTTACGAAGGTGAGAGAAGGCATCTTTAATGAAGGGACAATTGGGCTGGAACCTAAAAATTGATTAGGGTTAACTAACCAAAGAGGGGACAGGAAGTCAGTCCAGGTAATGGGAACATGTGATTAGTGGACATTTGTTGATTTGAGGGTTCCACCCTGCATTCATTCCTCCTCTTTCTGGTAAAAACTCCCAATTTTCTTTTGAGGAATAACTTTTTCTTCATTGTTTAAAGCTTTACTGAGGTTTCTATTTAAGGTGTCTTGGCCAAGGGTTGGGCACAGGACCCAAGCCAGCCAAGCCCTTTGAGCTGCCCTCCGTGGCTTTGGGTTGGGCAGAGTAGTGCAAGGGGCAGCGGACAGTTAGAGCTGATACCACCCAGCAGTGATGCCCTGATGCTACTTCATTTGCTCCCACTACCTGTGTCCCCGGAGCTACCCTGGCCCTTCAACTATTCTTTTGTTTGACTCAGGAGCTGCCCATGACTTTTCAGTAAGTCCCCTGGCAGGTGAGAAGATGTGTCAGGGCCTGGCAGATGGCTGGTGTGACTCAAACTGAAAGACAAAGGGCTTTTGTGGTGCAGGAGGGGGCAGAAGGATGGGAGCCAGGCCAAGAGAGGTCCTGGAGGCCACTTTAAAGGTTTTAGTCTTTATCTTAAAGCCAATGGGAATTGTTAATGTAATTTAAGCACAGGGATAATGTAGTCAGAGTTGCTTTTTGAAAATATTACTTTAAGAAATGAATTGGGGAGGAGGCAGTGGAGGTAGGTAGACCAAGCTAGGGGGCCAGTTAGTAGGTCGGATGAAAGAGGAAGACAGTTCTGTGGTACTGTGGTGGAGATGGAGAAGTGATGGACTTGGGAGCTATGTGCGAGGTAAATAGGACTTGGTGATGGATAGGATATGGGGTGAGGAAGAGGGGAGCATTCGAGGTAACACCATGATTTCTAGCTTATGAAACAAGATTGAGCGCCAGTGTCTGAATATATAAATGGACAGTGGCCAGGCCACACACGACAACAGAACTCTGACTCATATCCTCTGTTGCAGCCATCCCAGAATGGTCAGGGTTTGGTCAATGGTCCTTACTAGGGCTTATTATTTTGCCCACAGATTCAACAACAAGCCAAATCACATAAGATTCCTTAAGCCAATCACGTAAGATTCTCTGCTTCTATTTAGCTCATCCCCAACTTCCCCATCAACAGCCTCTGATCAGAACATCCCAAATCCTCGCCTCCACTATAGAGCTTTCCCGCTCTTCTGTCTGCCATTGAGCCTCTGCCCAATGCAAGTGACAGTGGCTGACTCCCTTGCTATGGCGAGCTCTGAACAAATAGCCTGGTGTGTCCTCATGCGGGCCATCCTTACTTACACACTAGTGAGCCCTTCGCTGATATAGGGAACACGGGGAGGGGACTGAAAGAGAACAGTGGGGATTTCTGTGTTCAGTGCTGAACACGTAGATTAGAGGATGCCTTTGAGGCATCTACAAGGAGATGCCAGGTCCAGGGCTACGCCAGGACTCTCATGGAGCCTAGGCAATTTTCTGGGTCTTTTCTTTTTAAAAATAATATTAAAAATTGTATTTTGTGACAGCCCTGGTATAAAGTCAGATATACTCACATTATAAAAAAATTTTTAACTAAAAGTTCTTTTTTTGGTCTCATTTAGAAAGAATGAAAACATTTTTGGGAGCTTCTAAAAATATTGTGGGCTGTAGGCACTGTGCCCACTGTGCCTGACGGGCCACCTGCTATATGGGTCTGTATTGCTGCTCTAAGATGAAGGCCAAGAGGTGGGGTGTGGGGGTTGGGAGGGTGGGATGTGAAAGAGGAAGGACCAGGAGAGTAAAAACTGGCTTGGTATTTACTGATACTGAGGAACTGCTGTTAATTATACATTTAAGAGAATATTGGCATGGTAGTGATGCTTTTAAAAGATGTTCTGTAGGAATGCATGTTAAACATTTGTGAATAAAGAAATATCGGCGTTTGCTTTGCCTTAAATGATCCTGGCAGGGGAGTGGGTGAGGCACAGACAAAAGGACTCAATTGTGAGCTGGTGATTGTCGAAACTAAGGGATGGGAACGTGGGGTTCATTTTAATATTCTCTCTTCTGTTACATATGTTTGAAGTTTTATATAATGAAGTGCAAAGTGGGGGTGGAGCGAGGATGGACGATTGCAGGTCTCGGCAGAGGCTGGAGGGGCCTGAACAATGCAAAACTCCCCCCACACTCTGCACCTTCAGTCAGGCCTGCTTCCCTCCCAAACGTTTGGTGTAAGAGTGTCTAAGGGAGGAGATGAAGGCGCATGTCTGTATTCTGTGTCTGGGGACAGCGAGGAGGAGAAATAGCACATATAAGAAGCTGAGATAATTTATAACTTCGTGGAGGGAGCATCGCGGAGTTACAACCCACTAGGAATAATGTAAAATAAGATTAAGCGGTGCCCCACCCCAAATCCAGGGAAATGGAGGGGACTCAGGACTCACCACACTAGGGCAGGGCAGGGATTTCAAGTCAATTCTATTTGAATTTTCAAGGGTCAGGGCGTGCCCATTGTTCTCTGGGTTGCAAGTGCTTGACACTCGATATATGAAGATATGTTTATTAACCTGGACTTGATTGAAGGAAGCAAAATGGTAACATAAATTATTAATGGCTTAATAATACTCCAATAACACTGCTCCCATGAGAAAGAGCAAGTAGGGGAGAAAGCCAGGAGGTTCTTTAGAGAATTCTGCCTCACCTGTGAAGCAGGAGCCTGGGAATCCAATGTCCATCTCTAACACCTCCTTCATTGGGTTCTTGTCAAGTACCTAACATAATGTCCAATACATAGTAAGTGGGTTTTACCTTTTACTCTTTATTAGTGGATATCAAGAAGCTTCCAATGTCTTTCTGGATGATGGAGCCTACTTCCTCTAATCCAGTTACAGTCCCACTAAAACACAATCCCATCAGGAAGTGGAGCCTACTTTCCACTCTGGGCTGGGCCTGAGTCTGGGCTGGCCTGTGACTTGCTTAAACCAAGGGAATGAGGCGGAAGAGACATTGTCTGACCTCCAAGCCCAGGCTTCAAAAAGCCTTGAGGCTTCTGCTTTTGCCTCTTGGACTGCTGCTCTGGGGCGGCATGGGAAGGACCTCCTTGAGGGACCTCGTGGGAAGGGCGGCCCTGTCCTCCCGGACCTCACCACCAAGCCCAGCCTCCAGCTCACCCTCTGCCAAACGCATCCACGAGAGAGATCCAGCAAGGTCAGCAGAAGAACTGCCCAGCTACCCACAGTACTGTCAGAGAAAAGTGGCTATTGTCGAAACTGCTAGGTTTTGGATTGGTTTGTCATTCAGCCACAGTTAACTGAAACAGTATTAAGCTGGTGTAACAACCGACTGAAGCCAGTGGCGGGCAGCGAGGGGAGCAAGGGTGGTGACCCTGTCCTCAGCTGGTTTCCGTAAGCCTATGAGCATGTCCCTGGTTTGGGCCTGCTAAATGAGCAAGTAGGTACTTCTCCCTCAGTTAGGTGTCTTTAAAGCCCCTTTATCACCCTGTGTGAACCAAACCACAGCAGACCTCAACCTACGTGACCCATGATTGGCCAGTAAGAACTCACAGGCATTGACGCTGAGGAGCCTGTTAATTCTTTCAGAGGGTTTTGCA